TTGCTAACTCTGGGTTTGATATCAAGTGAATGTGTTGATTGTACATGTAGGAGGGTTTATGGCAGTAAACTGCTTCTATTGGTGAGGTGTTGCTGCAGAAACTCTCATTATCCTGAGCTGTGCTTAGGAAGAGAACAAAGATAAGGTTGTCTAAATTCACTGCTGAAGGTTACTTGTTCAGTTTCACTTGTTGCTTTATTTAGCTTCTGCCTAAAAATCGGAGGTTGATAAAGGTCTTGACAGCAACAACTGGTGTCTTAATGCCTTCCCTCCCTCGTACTAAGTTACCAGTGAGCTAGGTGTTTGCTATGTGGACACAAGTCCTGAAGGCTCAGAACACTTTCTCTTTTTCCTTTCCAGATTTTTGAGTCCCCTGAATATGCTCATTGGGGGTACTGTGGTGGTGCTGGTGTTCATGGGCTTTGTGTGGGTATCGCACAACAAGGATATACTCCGCAGGCTGAAGAAGCAGTACCCAACCACATTTGTAGTGGCCATCATGCTGTCTAGCTACTTCTTGATCTCTTATCTGGGAGATGTCATGGTGTTCATGTTTGGGATCACACTTCCTCTCCTCTGTAAGTATTTTTCTTCTTCTCTGGTGGGCCAGGGACATGTGACTTGAGCTTTCCCAAATAAGTCTGTGGAGTCTAAATTGGCCATTACCTTTACTGTCTCTATTTCACTGATTCCAGAACAGAATTGGGGGGAAGGGGACACACAAAACAGCACAAGCTATCTTTAATGTTGTTATTAAATGGGTACCTGTGGTTACCATAAGGTCATTGAGACTTCCTGTTCTTCCAGTGATGTCATGGCATTGGAGTGTGTCTTAAGGCGAATGCTGCAGGAATTATGCATTCCTAGGGCATTAACAATTAATAAGCGTGTTTCTGTCATGCAGTGATGTTTGTCCATGCTTCTCTGAGGCTCCGGAACATAAAGAACAAGCTGGAGAACAAGATGGAAGGAATAGGCCTGAAGAAGACCCCGATGGGCATCATACTGGATGCTCTAGAACAGCAAGAGGAGAGTATCTACAAACTGGCTGACTACGTATCTAAAGTGAAGGAGTAAGCAGCTGCAACGTGGCATTTTTACCTGTTGCAAGAGTGTAGTTGCTATTTACTATTGTTCAAGCTTGCTTTCAGTTTGTGTACAAAACAGGAAATGCACGTGGTACAGATTAATAGCTGCAGGATACAGGTATCCCAAGGTCTTCAGGGCTTCTCTAAGAACATAAGAGCAGCAACTTTTTTCTATTGTATAGCAAAATGTTCTGGTGTTTACACAAATACATACTAACTTAGCGTGTTTGCTTGTCTCTTCTTCTGGGGGGTAGAGGAGGAAGAGATGGAAACCTATGGAATGCAGTCTCCCAAACTGTCTTGTAGCAAATTTGTCTGTTGGGAAGAGTAACACCACTTTCATCTCAGTTTCACAAGATGCCAGTTTAGCCAGTTCATGGTGGGTAGCACCTTCAGCCTGGCAGTGTTCAAGGTGAGCTGGAATGTATCAAAAGTAGGTATGACTTGCATCCTCCAAATCTCACGTGAGTGGTCTGTATCGAGGCCACGTTGCTAGCGTTAACTGGCAGGTGGGTAATACTGTGCAATACTCGTAACGAATGTGGGTTCCTGTCCTCACCTCACATCTCTGCTTTTGCAGCTGGAAACAGTCTAAATAGATCTAAGCATGAAGAGTATATATATGGCACCGTGCCTCTGTCGGTTCCAGTACAACGCACCTTTGTTTTCCCTCCAGTCTTGATCCATAGAAACTGCTTTTCCCTTCAGGAGAGACAGAACTTCCTCACATAACAGCTCAACTGTGTCCAAGAATAGGAGGAAAAGAGTTTTCAGACACATTGGAAGAGCCAGGTTTCTACCCTATTGGTGTTTTAAAATACTTTAGGACTTACCTTGTTCTGCTTTAGTCTGTATAGGCTGTTTTGTAGATGAAGGTGTATGTGTGTTCTCAAATGTGGGTCAACTTTTTCTTTCTTCTTAACCAGAATGCAAAGATCTAAGTAAAACATGCGTCTTGCTGACTCTGTACTTCTGACACTCTTCAAAGGAATAAACTGGATTTCAGGTTTACAAGTAAAAGCAATAAATGTCAAGATACAGTTTTTGAAAACCCATTCCAAATTCATTAAGATATTTGCCTGTAACAACTCCTGAAAGTGGTGTGTGGGATTATTTTTGATCTATTTTAACTGCCAGCTCTCATAGAATTATCTTGATAACAGGAGCTTACCAACACTGGGGGGGGAGTTGTCCAGGTGACACTCCATTTCGAATATTCTCGCATTTCTCTCTTTTCTAACAAAGTAACTCACAAAAAAGCAAGGATCCTTGAAGTTGAAGCTTTTATGTAACCATGCTGTTTTCATAGTGAACCGTGTAGAAATCTGAACATGTCATTCCATTTAAGTGTTAAGGTGATCAGTATTTATTGAAAATGTCTGTATATTCCAGCTGAAGAGTCAAGGGCCTGTTCCCCACTTGTAGCGCATGGTCTTTGTTTTTTGAAAACTGTTTCCACACTTAAAGAACTTAGTAGCCTATGACTTCATCATTACTGTAGAATTTTAAACACTGCACAGTTATGAAGAAAAATAAATTCTAATGGTGATTACTGAGTGCATTTATTTCAGGTTGGGAGAAGCGGTTGGAAACTGGAGCGTGTCGCTGTGTCTGTGGTGGGCGAAGCTCCCTCGAGTGATGCTGGGGGATCTGCTGTCACCCTGCAGCAAAGCCACGCATGCGATGAAGCTGCTGGCTTCGAACGCTCTATATCTGTATTAACTTTGAGGCACGAGAGGCCTCCGAGCTGTGGAACATTACAGCCCTGCTCTTGCATCCTTACAAAGGCTTCTCCGCAGAGGTGGGGGTACCCAGGCGTTTGTTCAGGCTGTTTCATACTGTTATATAACTCTACTTAAGTGGGATTGCACATTTCTTTTAATTACCTGAGAGGGATTTCTGCTTCTAGGATTACTGGGAGCTGTGCTGTGGGCGGTGCTCGGGAGCCAACTCTGCAGCTGTCAAACGAGAAGTGCAGTCTCTGGGTCTGGCTGCCTCCTCCTGCGATCACTCAGGGCTGCTCCGTGGGAGAACACGGATCAGAGCAGGGCAGCGCAGGTCCTGCTGGATAGACCTGGGTAGTACGTGCCAGACGCTGCTGCTTTGGCTGCTGTTGGGTGTAACTAATTTGCCCCTGCCAGCTTGAGTTGGAGACCGTAAAACACTATCACGTATTTTCCTTTGTACTTCCCTGGCCCAGCTGCTGCAGTCTCAGCTGTGCTAGCCTGACCTTGAAGGCAGGATGGAGAGCAGAGTGCTCCGAGAGCTTTCGGGGGGAGCTGCTTTTAGCACTTGTCACTTGCTGCAGTGCGCCATGTGAGGGCTGGGGTAGAAGTACCACCTTCCCTCCTTCTCCTACTTCATCCTTTACTAAAAGGGAAGGCTGTACGAAACGGGTGCAATGAAAACGTTACTTCTTTTTTGTCTTTGCCATGCAGAAAGGGCTCTCCCATCCTGTGATACTTGCTGTGTTTTAGGGAATACATCAACCATCTTTCCCAAGTCTGCAGCACTGCAGTTGCAGACAGAAGCAGCACTGAGAAGGAGCTTTACAAGTTTGGAAGATGGAGATGGGAAAGAGACCAACTGGTAGATACAAAAAGGACAGAGATAAGTGGGAACTTGAATTAATGACAGCAGAGACTGCCCTGGATTCAAAGTAGTGCTGGACAGTGCTGATACTAAAGAACTAATGTAATAAATGTGAGGAGGGGGAGCAGGGTGGGACTGGGATTTAGCTGCCAGGGGAAGGTTAAGAGTTAGAGGCAGGAGCAAGGAGAGACTGGCATGAAGGGAGTCCTGCCAGGAGCTGCAAAAGGCAAATATGCCTTGTAGCTTCAAATGGCTTTCTTTAAACAAAACCCAGCTGGTCTCTTGTGGCTGTGTTCCACAAAAGCGTGACTTACCTGTAGTTGCTTAAGAAGAAAGGCTTGTAGCAAAAAATCTGTGATTAAAAAAAGGGAGGAGAAAAAAAAAATCACAAAAATATTAAGGAAAATAGAAGTTGGGTATATGCAGGTTTAACCCCATTATCTCCATCCCTTTGAGAGGCAAGACAGGCTCTTCACACCCATACAAGGAGGAATGGGGAGTTCATTAAATCCCTGTCAGGGACAGGTAAGGCTCATCCTCCTGCTACTTCAGAGTAGTGTGGAGAGAGACCTGAAATGGCATTTCAATGCTCTCCAAGGTGGCTGTAATCAAGGGTTACATCATGGGCAGAGGTGAATTGTGGGAAATGAAGATTACAGCTCTCAGAGCACGACATCATCCTTTACCTGCCAATCAGGCCCAACACCAATTCGATTATGTTCTGAACTAGAGGTAGCTTGAAACCGTCAAGGTGTTCGATACACTAGAGCAGTCATCCTGTTCTGCGAGTGTCGTCTTAGCCACGGAAGTGCCGCACACATCTTACCGAGACAGCTTTATTTCATTTCTGTTTCCTCAGCCTAAAAAATGAAGCTGTATACATGGAAACCAAATACAATTCTCATGGACAAAAGAATCACCAAGGAGCATGTATGTGAAAAGAAAGATAAAGCACAGTGTGTGCCTGCAGAATCTGGCACCAGGAGGACAATGTGGAAGCAAAATAGTTTGCTGACAAACTAGAAAGACAAGGTTATTGATGCCTCTGAGAAAATAACTCCCACAACAAACTGGAGCCTCGCATCCACTTGGCAGACAGATGGCACTGGGATTGTTCGACACCTGATGGAAACGCTCAGCGCTGGCTTTTCCCATGCCAGCCGTTTTCACCACACTTACAGAAGTGTGTATCTCAAGTTTTGTTCCCAAAGAGTCGTATTAATACCACCTGGATTCTGCAGAAAACATCTGCTGAAACAGTTGTAAGCAGAACTGAATAGTCTTTATTCCAAGTTGTTTTCTTCGGGTCAGTCTGGTCTCTCACTCCAGCTGCTTTGGCAGTGGCACCTGGATAAGGACAGTAAGTATGAGGAGGAGGAAATTTCTCAATTGTATTTCCCAAACCCATTTAGTTTAATACAAACCTTCAGAAACTGTAAAAAAGAACAAAAATACATGATCTTGGAGCTCTAGGGAGCTCTAAGAAGCTCTGGTTGAGAATTTCTCTTGTTTGTAATTCCCCACTTGCTGTTTGCTATTCTTAATACCCAGGAAATCAGTTTGCAAGCAACGAGTCCCACCACGGAGTGAACAAAGACGCAGCTCGGTTCAAGCAGTAAAACCTGATTTTAGAGATGAAGCTAATGATATTGAGGCAAATAAGGAGTTACCAAAGATCACAAAGGCAGATGAGAATAAAACCCTAATGCCTCAAATCCCAGCCCTTCAGCCCAATGACACAGCAACCAAAAAACCCCCAAACAAAAACCAACCCCAACAGGTGTCCATTGCTCCACCCTTCCCTGGGCTGTGGTAGCAATTATTATTGGTCCCATTTAGGATGGACCATTGTGGTGGGTTGACCCTGGCTGAAGGCTGGGTGCCCACCGAAGCCACACTGTCCCTGCTCTCCTCAGCTGGGCAGGGGCGAGAAAATACAACAAAAGTCTCATGGGTTGAGACAAACACGGGGAGAGATCACTCACCAGTCCCTCTCACGGGCAGAACAGACTCAGCTTGGGGAAAATTAATTTATTGCCAATCAAATCATGAGTAGAAAAGAACTAAAACCAAATCTTAAATATACCTTCCCCCATCCCTCTCCTTCTTCCTGGGCTCAGCTTTGCTTTCCATTTCTCTCCTTCCTCCCCCTGAGAGGCACAGGGGGATGAGGAATGGGGGTTGTGGTCAGTCCATCACATGTTGTCTCTGCTGCTCCTTCCTCCTCAGGGGAGGATCCTCACACTCTGCTCCAGCGTGGGGTCCCTCCCACAGGGCCACAGCTCCTGCCAGGAGCCTGCTCCAGCACGGGCTGCCCATGGGGTCACAGCCCCTCCTGAGGATTTGGGGGGGGGGGAATGTCTGGGGTTCATTATTGCTCCCTGGCACCCAGCAGCACCCAAGTTTCTTTATCATTGCTGTGCAAAGTGAAGGCTGTGCCCACCATCATCCTCCATCTTCCTGAGAGGAGGGGAGGCAGCAGATCCCACAGCAATGATGGACCAACCTGCCATCACAAGCACCATCTTGGCATGTACAGCTAAACCGTGACCTTTACAAGAGCAGGTCTTGTTGCCTTAGACACGGCACCAAAAACCACGACTGGCCTAGAAAGGTCAGAGATGCCCTGAGTGACCCTGGCTGCAGCCAAGTCGGACTCACCGGCAGAAACCGCAGCCCCAGCACTTGGTCTGGGAGCAGAACGTTCGCTTTAACTGAACCAGACTCACGGCAGGACCTGCCCCTGCCAAGATTTCCGGACAAACTACTCTCTCTGGAATTACTGAGGGAATAATTACTTCTGTGGAGATATAAATGAAAGCAAAATGTGGCCCACTACATAAAAATGTCAATATTAAACAAAATAAGAATTACAAAATACTACTTGACCATTTTTAATTGCAAAGGATTTTCTGCCCTCTTCCTCTAGCCTTAGCAATGCAAACAGATGCATGAACACCACTAGCTACAAATAGATCAGTCAGCTTTTGGCATTTCTTGAATAACAGGAAAGCAAAAGGTTAAATCTGGTGGCCAGCATTCTGAGAAGTGGCCCATGAATTTGGTACCCAAGTAGGAGCATCACCAAGAGGCAGTTATCACAGTTTAGGACTTCATCCTCTCACTAAAGCTTTTAATTCCATTTAAACCAGACCAACCAAAGGCAGTCCCGGACCCCAGCTGAACCCCAGACCCGTCTTGCTGGTGGGTTTGTGGCAGCACTGAAGGAGCGCAGTCACTCACCGTTGCCAGCCCAGGGGCCGGGCACCCACTGCGGGGGCAGGCGGAGGCGCGTGGCCAGCGCATTCCTGGAAACCCAGCTCCTGCCTCTGTGCAGGTTCTGAAGTGAGCTTGGCTAAGTTATTTTGCTGCCAGTGTTTCAGTTTACCCTTTATCAAATGGGCCAAGTGTCGGTGTTTTCTTGCGTAAAGTGAGAGGCGAAGAAAAACCGGGCTGCTGCGAAGAGAGACATGTTTTCTAGGGCGGGGAGGAGAGAGTAATGTGAAAAATAATACCTGGTACTCTCCTGAAGTACACATCTTATAACAGCATCTGCCTACCGTAACCAATACGCTATTACTCGTAAGCTAACGTTGACTTTCTGAGGTTTTGTTTACCTCCTGACCGAATTTCCTTTCCTTCACCTGCATGGATACAGACAGGGATGCACGAGGCTGCAGCCTCGGTACTTGCTACCCTTTCTCTGTTCAAGCTGTACCTGAGCGCTGCCAGGGGAGACAACCACCCGCGCCCCAGGAACGGCAGCCTGACGCACAACCGGGGCGACACACAGCACGCGGGTGTGTTTGCAATCCCCGCTGGATAGCCGCTGGATAGCCGATAGCTCTGGAGCGCGCTGGGTGGACGCGACTCCCTCCCCTCGCAGCCAGCGCTAAGCACTTACCGGTTTCAGGTAAGCGACGTTACTCTGACGAATGTCATTCAGTAGCTGATCCCTCGGGGTTATTTCGACGAGGGGAGGCGGTCTTCTCCTGGGAACCGGTTTAAGTGTTTTGATGACGTCTCTGAGGTTGGTTTTCTCGGCGGGTTCCACGTACTCTGGCACGGCGGGTTTGCGCTGAATCTTCTTCAGCTTGACCACTCTGAAGTTGACGGGCTTCTCTCTGCACGGCTGCTCGGGGGGCGGCTGCCTCGCGCTCTCCTGCCTTTTGCTCCGAGACACAGCCATGGGAACGGGCGGTTTTGGGGCCTGGGGGGGTTCATGCATCCTCGGCTGGGGTATTGGTCCTCCCAGCATTTCCCACATCCCAGGAGGTAACCCAAGTCCATTTTCCAGCATTGTTATCAACTCCCTCTGCTCTTTCACTTGCTGCTGCCTCTGCTCCTCTTGCCTCTTTTGCCTCTGCTTGTCCAGGTTTCTGCTGAGCAGGTTGGTCACCACCATCCTGGGCCCCGGCAGTTCGAAGTGGTACCCCATTTTAAGGAGGGTGGCGTTGGCTTTCAGCAGCCTGGCGATCTCCATTTCTGCCTGGTGACCCAGCATGCTCCGCTGGTTGTGGAAGCGGAGCTCCGTCAGCATCTCGTTGTACTGCAGGCATCTCATGATAGCCACGATCCCTTTGCCGGAGATGAAGTTGGAATCGATGTTCAGCGTGGTGATGCTCCTGTTCTCCCGCAGCATGTTGGCCAGCGCGAACGCCACGTTGTCGTCAGCCCCCACGTTGGCCAAGCTGAACGTCTTTACGTTCTTATTCTTTTTCATGGCATTGACAAAGTCTATCAGCATTTCTTTGGGGATGTTTTCTATGTTGTTCAGATTGAGCTCTTTCACGTCTGGGTTGTTTTTTCGGACTTTCTCCAAACTCTCTTCTAAATTGGTTTGATTTCCTGAAGGCCTGGCGCTTAGCTTCATGAAGCTGGTATCCAGCGCTAACTTCTTGGGGATGTTTAGTTTTGATACTTTCTTTTCAGTTTCATTTGGCTTTTCTGGGATTTCTCCTGATTCTGTACCTGATTTCTTACTCATCTGACTGCTGTGAGGGTTTTCATTGGTGTAAGTCTCCTTTGTTTCCAATTCTGTCTCACCTTCGTCTCCCTCCTCTTCATCATCTTCCTCCTCCTCTTCATCATCCTCCTCCTCCTCCTCTGCTACTTCTTCCTCCTCCTCCTCTCTCCCTTTATCCCTTCCATCTTTGTTCGGCTCCCCATATTGTGTTCCTGAGTTGAACAAGTGTTCATTTTTGTAACGTCTCTCCTTTCCCTCTGCTCCTGGCACCCTCCCACTGTCCGCCTCGCTGCTGCCATTGGCTTTTCCTTCCATCTCCTCTGCAGCACTTCTCTGAAGAAGACAAAAACAGCTGAAATCATTGAACGTGGCTTTGTTACATTAATTTTCTGATAAAGTAAACATGTAGCAGCTAGATTTAGATACCTCTATGTCCACACATAATAGAATAATCCTTGAAAGTGTCATTGCCTGGATGTCAAGGCTATGCTGGCTTCCTTGGGAACACAGGAACACTTGCTCTTAAAGTGGCTGCAAACCAGTTTCTCATCTTTGCCTATTAAGCACACTGGCAATTAAATCCTGTGTGTATTTATTGCCATGTTAGGGTGGTCCTCAAACCCTTCTGGGAATTAAAGAGTCTCTGATGCAAAGTCTGTTTCTGGATTTTGTGTGATTTTTCTTGTTTCCTTGACAAGAGAGAAAGTTGGTGTCCCATGCCACAAAGTGTCAGAAATCAGCATTACCCACTGACGGTTTGCTCAGCCTGAGGAGGAGTGAACAGGGCACGTGGCAACAACGGTGGAGTCACCCGGAGCACGAGACAACAAGGCCACCTGTTGTGGTACCTGCCAGAGCATCGCAGCTAAGGAACCACATCAGTGAGGATGAAGCAAAATATTAGCTCAGTTTTGAGTCCAGAAATAGGATCCTGGACTCTGCACACAGGTGTTGCGAGACAGTGGGGCTTCTAGCACTGACATAAAATTAGTTGCAAACTCCCACCATCTCCAAAGACCTTCTCAGCTGAGGTGTTGGTTTTTTTTTTTCCCCAGTAGATCCTCCATCACTGAGAAATGCTAATAAAGATCAAGATATTTTCCTGTAAGACTTGCACAGTTCAAGCAGGGCAGCGTCATGGTTTGTGCTTCACCAGAAGTCAGACATAACGGTCACAAAGTCACTTCTGCCCTCGGGGCTGGGGTAGTGGATGGGCTTAGTACAGGGATCCCCTGAGCAGTTGTTGATGCAGCAGACAGCTCTATGCTCAAATTCCAGATTTAACCTCAGATGTATTAAAAAAAAAATATTGTTTCTTTGAGGGTAAGAGTTAAAAACCCTCCTCTCCAGAGGCAGCCCATGAAACCTGCCCTGGGAAGCCCACGGTGTACTGTGCTGTTGTGTATTAGCAAAACCATCAGTATTTAATAAAAAATAAACATCAGTTACCTCAAATTCACTTGGGTTCAGGTATGGATGTGTTTCATCTGGCCACGTTTCCATTCTGTTAACCTATTTTTAAGTGTGGCCCTCATCCTCAGTATGACCTTAACTTTATTTCAAAGTCATGGGGACAGCAGAATAAATTTGAGTACTGTATTGAAAAGGGCTGGACTAGCTCACGGAGTCTGCGTGCTGGGTGTTAGTGAACGCTTCACATCGTTAAAATGCAGTGGTTTGGGGTTCTGTCCCGTAAGGCATTAAATTCTGTCCGTTAATTAGTTTAATACATATGATTAATATAATCTTCTATGGAAAAGCAGTATGGTGTTGTTCCATACACAAAGTCAAGCAAATTTGAGTTACAGCTTCCAAACTGATTTTATGACAATTTATCAGTGATCTGCCTTTCTGAAACAGAACTAGGATTTTCTTATGTTAAAAAGCTTAAGTGAATATTTAGGAAAAGCAATTACAAAACTACTAACCCTGACATCAGTCCAAACTGGATCCCAACATTGCTGAGGCTCTTAGGGTGAATTTAAACATGTTTGTACCGTACCTTACGTGAGAGACGGAAGCAGAGGCAGGTTAAGGTATTAAAGCTATAAAACAAATCCCCCAGCAGATGCATAATAAATATTTGTGATTTTTCGCTTGTTACCTCAGAGGGCAAGAGGGTGACGGGAACTCTCTCGTCCTCGAGCATGCGTCTGGATGCCTTCTGCCAGTACAGGTAGTCAACCAGGGACCGGTGGTCGAAGCTTCCCGTGGGGGGTTTCTCCGTCTGATCCCTCTGTATCATTCCAGTTGGGACTTCGGGATCTGGGGCCATGACTTCCATCTCACACTGCAGCTCCTTTAGCTCCTCGGGGGATAGGTTTGCCAGGATTTCATCTTCATCGATCTCTTCAGGACACACTTCTTCGTCAGAGTTTTGGCTGAGTTCAGACATGTTTCCTTCTCTCCTTCCTCTATTACTTTTTAAACCTAAAGAGAAAGATAAATTTTAAAGGATTTTTTTTCCTCCCCCCTCACTATCAGTAGTTTATTCAGTTAAATCAAGAACTTCATGTTTTGGTCATGAGCCGTGGCAGCTCTGGGTCTCAGTGCGGGAGACAGTCCGTGTAGCTACGTCTATATTAAGCTGCACTTGGCTGGGTAAAGAGAATTTATGGTGATGCTGCCATGCTCCATTTTCAGCAACCTGTCAGCTGTGCAAGCCCTTCTGACATTTCAGTGCAGCTGGTGCATCCCCCATTGAGTGAGGCAGGGGACGGCCGTGTTCTGGAGGATTCTGGGGGCACTACGCCTCCCCGTGCTTCACCCCACACTTGTCTCACCGTAGGTGGGTGGGCTGACGTTAATGGTACCTGCGGGGTGTGTGGGTGAAATTCTGCACCACGGGAAGAACCAGTACAGGGTCCCTGTATCCGCAATGTCTCAGATACCTCAGCAGGGCTGGGGAACTGCAGGATCTTCACTGCCCTCAGCCAGGTCCAAACCCCGGCTGAATATTGGGGTGGTTTTGGTGGGAGTGCAGCCATCGCACAATCGATGAGCTCTCCCAAACACCAGCTCCTGGTTAAGGTAAAATCCTCCAAGCTGGAAAAAGACAGGCAAACAGTCAGTACAACACACGCCTTGCACCTGGGGACAGGGGTCCATGTGGGGACCAGCCCCTTGACTTAGCCTAAGCGGTCCCACAGGGAGCATTTCCCACAGCACATCCATGCCCTGCTCCCATCCGGTCTGCTCAGGGTCAGTGCCAATGCCCTGTTTCATGACTGGCTGGTCGCTCTCATGGACATTATTTGCACTGTCAACAGATGTTGGCTGACAGTTCATCTCAGGTTCATCTTTTTCCTACTTTTTAGCATTATTTTAACAGAATTATTAAGCAACTACAAAGACTTTGCTAATACTGGTAGAGCTGACGTAGCCATAGAAAATTACCTGGAATCCTTTTTTTCATTAAGTGTCCATTTTTTCATTAAGTGTCCATTCCAGCTAAGAAATACCTCCTTCTTTGTTCAGAATACGATAGGCTTCTAAATTTACAAGGCAAAACAGAAACCCATATCCCCAGCACCACTGTGCTCACGGTTGCTTTGTAAAGGCAGAGTAGCACGGGTGGGTAATTTTTGCACTGCAGTGCAAATTCAGCACGCCACAGTTTGGACTGTTCCTTGGATTAGGAAGATTTCTTCTCATCATTTCAAATATTCTTTGCAGGGGGTATTGAATCAAAGCCTTACCTTGGAACTGTGAGTGCATCTTTCGTAGGAAAGAAACCACGGACCAGAGGTTGTGAAACCAAGCCCCGCCGATTTTTAAGCCGTGTTTCTCATTACAGGCTCAACCATGCTTTGCTGGAGCAGCAAAAATAGTCTCTGCATGACGGTGGGCTCTTTACTGTGTTTTGTAACAGGGCTTTGAACACCATGTTTCTTGTTATAACAAGCCGTGATCCAAAGGTCCTCATTTAATTAATGCTGCTACACATTATGGACGAGGGCAAAAATCTAAGATCAAAATAAGTGATAAAGGGAAAAAAAATAACAAAAAACAAATAACTAAAACCCAAGCCAAGAGCATAATGGCTCCGTTTGCCCCTTTGGTATTTCAGGGGACATCCTTATTTTATATCATGCAGTAGCAAGCACAACAGCAGACCCACACATCAATCTATCTGGTCTAGCAGCTTTCACCCCCGGTGATTGCTGTCCATAGGAGAGTCCATAAATGGTTTCCCGATGTTATGAAATAAATCAATGCTCTTCTCAGTAACCGGTATGTTATTCTCCCAAACGATGCTGTTTGGGTCACAGAAGCTGTCTATTCAGTAGTTACTTATCACTTGCTAATTTCTTGACTGTAAGTAAAGCCCCTGGCCACCTTCTTGTATTTCCATGATCTTCAGCCAGGACGTCTTGAGCTGTGGTCTTGTCAGACCTGCGAAGTTAAGTAGGGTCAAACCCACAAAGTTCTTTAAAGAAGGAAAACAAGGATACTGAGAACACTACCAGGTATTTGAAAAAAGCAAATTTTCTTCTAAGTAGAAATAAATCACTTGTTGATACCGTGATTAGGAAATACTATACTTCTGGGAGTGACGCCTTCTCGGTCAGATGGAGAGCGAAGGGCTGCCTGGTGACACCTCTCCTGGTGACACGGGTGCTAATCCCACAGATTTCCAAGGTGGGTATCACATTTTGCCTACTTTAGGTCTCTCCCCATGAATTACCTCGAGTTCAGGATTCACTTCCTTTTCTAACACGTTGCTTAGTGTTTTGGTGCGCTGGAAACGGCACGTTAAGGCAACAAACAACACCCTCCAGGCTGGGGACACATGGCCATATCTAGAAGTCTTTTCCAGGGCAAAACTCCCATCTTCTTCCCAATAACATTTGTGGGTATTCCCCTCAGAGCTTTCCAAAATAATCACTCACTCCCTCAACCTTCATTAAGACAGGAAAGCCACTTCCATCGGTAGCACTCATGATTTTCACGCCAATTTGACACTTGCTCAGGAATCCCCGGACTAATGAGCTGCTGTACGAGGTGCTCCGTTACCGCGGGACGGAGAGCTGTGCCAGCAGCTCCGCTCAAAGCGTAAGCGGAAGATGAGGTACTTGCAGCGATCACAGAGCTCAAAATTATGCTGAGTGTTAAACAAGTGTTAAATAAAGGCACTTTAGGAGCAAACTGATAGAAGACAAGGTCTGCTCCTGGTACCCAACAATCCATACTTGCCGCTCACTGCTTCCAAGGCAGGTTCTCGAGTGCGGATAACTCTTGCACAAAACCCAGCGGGTTCTCCTGCGGGATTGTTTCCCTTCATTGACTATTTTTTTTTCCCTCATTTGTGCATTTTCTTCAAAACTTCCAACCTCTCTGTCTTGAAAGCAAAAGGGTTGACAAGTTTTTAACTCAAACATCAAGAGGGGCCACCACCCCCTGTGTCACCATTTGACACGAAGCAAGCCATCAAGCCATGCTTCGACTGCCTAAAACGTGTTCTATTTTTAGGGTAACTGATGGGACACATGGTGATGGCAAATGCTTGTGAGCAATTTCTATAATGTTGGCTTTCATTTTTTTTGCTTATAAAACCCACACATTTATTCCTCTCTATTACCAATCCATGGCATTTCCAAGTGCCAAGGCATTAACTGGAATGACTCTGAGAATGTGCCTGTGTAACATAACCTTGCATCACTTTTAAGAAACTCGTAGGCTTCATGGGGCAGTCTAAAATTGACAAACAGTAGCATACACCAAGCATGTCCAGCAATGCAGTGTAACGCAATATGGGGATTTATAAAGGGTCAGACGATGGGATCTTAACAATAACAACCACGAAGTAACGAGAGCAATCATAGAGAGACACCCTGTGGGAAAATCACCAGGGATCATCTTGGGGAAAAAAAGATACCCAAAACACCACACCTTCAGACTGCTATAGATATAAATATATCGGATTAAGTTTGTTGTGTAAATAGAGTAAGGACATTTGACTTTCAAAGTATTTGCCCAAGTCGCTTGACAGGGAGCTGCGAAGTCAAGTCCCCATACACAGCGACAGGCGCGGGGTGGCTGGCATGGGAACGGGACCGAGCAACGGGGAGGGGGGCATGAGCCCCTCGCCCCTGCCCCAGCAGTCACTGAATCTCCGCATCTCACTACGCTGAGGTCTGGAGGTTTCCTTCGGCTCCAGGAGGAGCAAGCGGAGCCGCGTCTCCTGTTTCAGTGGGACCTGATGCCTCTAATTTGACCCCCTCAAAAAAACATGGTGATTTATTTTTACTTTTGTATTTTTTTTGGTTTCCATTTTCAGAGAAGCCTGAGAGCAGCTACACTGGGTCCTCCCTATGCAGTAGGAAGCCACCTCTGTCATCATCCACATTCCTTATTACAGGGAAAAGAAAACGTTGGAATGTGTAGGCAGAAAGGGTGAGCGTGGAGGGGACTTGGGTCAGGTCAGAAATTAAAGTGAACATTTCAGCCGAGGGCAGGGTACTGACCACCCCAAAGGGAAAAGCACAGGCGAGTCAGATATGTATGTCTTGGTTTGCATCAAGAAGGGTTAAATGATTAACTGATTAATTAAACCATTTCAACTGTTTTAAACCATTTAAAAAAGATCATCCAAACCCCAGTGATTTTGGGGCAGGAGACAGCTCTACATAGGAATGTTAACAGTGACGTTTCACTGGTGGGGGACTGGGGGTGACACCGAGCACAACAGAGCTGGTCCTGGGCTGACCCAGGACAAACCTTTACCCTGTTGGGAGCCCAAACACGTTCCAAATTTCACCCTCAAATCCTGAGTTTCTGTGCTCGCTTGACAATGAACAACTCTACACCTCATCCACCACCCCTCCCACCAATATATACACGCTCTTGACAGACGAGCGGTCACCCCTACGTTTGTATGAAACAGTGAATTCAGCACAAGCCAGATCAGGTAAGAAATGGGGATGTTCTAGGAAACAATGTCACCCTTCACATTAAACACAGGGTATCTCTTCTTTTATAGCATCCAAACTTATCACAGGTCCCACACCTCGTATCATCCTGCCACTAAAACGTGCCCGTGGGCAACGATGCTGTCGAGGCCCCACGGTGACTTCGTTCTGCACACACAGAGCACGTCCTTCCCTAACCTCAGCCCGGGAACAGGTGGAAGGGTTTCTTCTAGAGTTACTCCAGCTGAGCCCCAGCTGGCTGCAAACTCTTCTCCATCTGCAGCTCTTCGATGACACTAACGATTAAATATAAGTTGAGACTCATGCCTGCTGCGCTTGAAACAGGCAGGAGATGCTCTGGGAGACCAAGCACATCCCTCTGCAGTCAAGGACACGCTGAAGGATTTACGGTGATTCCCTTCACGACAGACAGGCAGGGATAACGAAGCTGGATAGATAGCAAGGAGCTGCTTCTTGCTTAAAG